CGAGGCAAACAATAGTTGCGGAGAAAAGGAAAGGGCGAGCGACTCAAATCATCATGCAAGAAAGCCGTCCAGAATGATGTCAGCCACTCCCAGTTGAGGCGGCGTCCATGTTACACGTCTATCCCTTGAATCTCCTTCTCTCATTTCAAGAATGAGCCTGTCTGTATGACGAGGGGACCAGTAAAGGAACGAAGGTCATCGCAGTCGGTATGACTTCATCATTGCAGGATCCCCCGATCTCTTCGGTCTTCATCCGTTGACCGTTAAGAGTATAGGTCAGAAGGATAAGCAACAATAGTTGCAGACCTATCAGACCGGGAATGCAGATTCATATATACAGTGTATTTTCGGGCTTTCTTCTCTTTTCTTTGGCCCCCCTTGCGGAGGGGGGACCCTGGATTGGGACCCGTTCTTAAGACTGCTCTTATTGTGTCTGGGGTACAGAATGCAAGTCAGTTTCGCACAATGGTGTCTACGGACGATGATCGTAATCTTAAAAGGAATCCTTTTTTGTTTCTCGGGGGGTTCGGTGCGGTGTTACTGTGGAGGCGATCTGTTTTTTATTTTCCTTATTTATTTTTGTTACGACGGAGTATGTTTTGATTTGGATGTTCATGTCTGCCGAGATTTGGGATCGGGGGATTTATTATTAGAATATTCATTTGGTTAGTTGTTACCAAGTATGAGATCTGGAGCCGGAGCACTTGAGAAGGATCATTATTAATTTTAATTCGGATTCTGATTTTGATTCTCATCGTCGTCATGGACCGAGTATCAAGTTCCGCCGAGCCAATGAAGAAATCTCCGACTCATCCATTAGTGCCAGCAGGGATGCTTTCCAAAGTTGCTTCCAGGTGGGCTTCCTGAATTTTCAGGTCCGCCTCGAGTGCGTCGAAGTAGGGATCATCGACCTCGACTTCATTGCTCCCGAGTTGCCAATCGAAGGAGATGATCTGTCAGTTTTCTGGCCAAGTAGCGTAGCAAGATCCAATATAGGAATGCATCAGTCTATCATGTAGTTCTCATGAATGGAGTGGACCAGACAACCGAAAGTCAGTATGTAGTCGGGGATGGGATGTTCCACCATGGCAAGGTTGACCATTGATTGATATGAAACCTCGATGAAGTGTACTTAGCAGCAGCCGAGTGCGTGTGCTTTTCTGGCCCGTGCAGCCGCCGCGCGACCAGAAACAGCCACGGACCGCCTTACTTTCTGGATCTCACCGACCAATCCCCACTGCCCACAGGAAACTTGGAACTTTTTCGGAACGGTAAACGTGGCAGCGCAGAGCAGCCAATCACCGGCTGCCCGGGCTGTCACTCGATGTTCTCGAAGTGGGTGAGGATCCGCGGTCATTGGGCCTGATGAACTTGCCTCACTTCTTGACTTTCTTACTCGTCCTGCTCGCCCTCCATTGGACTGCTGGTTTAGGGGCCTAATTTATGCTAAACGGGGCATTAATTATCGGTGTATAAGGTTTCTGCGACAAGCGGTGTGTTGTGTCTAACTACTTAATATTCTAGGTGGAGTCGATGGACGAGGAGTTTGAAATGTTCCGCTATCACAGTTAAACTGTACAGAGAGTGAGTGACTTGTAAGTTGTACATACTTGGTAGCGTTGGGATCCTCTCGGTTGATATTTTTACTAGTCCATGGGGGAAAGGGAGAAAAGGCAAAACAAAAAACGCCTCGCGGTGTAAGTCAGCATCATATCTAAGTGCGAGTTAGAATTCAAGCTCCAATTTCCAACCCATGTTCGAGAGACTACCGTTTCTGGACGATTACAGGTCATTAGTCCAACGGTCCTCTGGTCGAACCCCCCCTCCCCCTGACCAACCTTTCCCGTCCGGATTGCTGGCCCTGTCATTGCCTGGGAGGGCTTGATAGGTGACGGACGGGTGTTTGTTGTGTTCGAGGCTATCGATCAATCTGGGACCCTTCCCCCTTCCCCGAGGTCTAGATTGAGAGTTATCCATCTTGAGCAAGTTACTTTCGGTAGTGGAGCCCATGAGATGAGCTGGCAATCTGTGTCGTTTTCCCTCGTTCTCGCTCTCCTCTCTCTCTCGTCTCGTTTGGCACTGAGAATGAATAGGCTCCCGGATGACAGGCTACCGGGAAAGGAAGGTTAACAGGCTGTCGAGGTACCCTATGGGTTCCATCGTCGTACCCCATCCGTGGGTGGTTTCTTCGGGTTGCACATCGTTTTTGGCTTTCATTGAGTCGGTCAGTGAGGCAAAACAAACCGTTTCGTCCATGTTCCTCATCAATAGAGTCCAAAGGCGGTGGGTCACGGCGGGCGCCTCCCAGCCTCATTGTCACTGTTCTCACTATGACCACCGGTTCAGTAAACAGAGTTTCATGGCTTTGTTCTCCCATGAAATCATAAATTGTCCCGAAAAGGGGGGTTGGCGAGGTTGTGTGTGGGGGGGGGGAAGGGAAGGATGGAAGTTCTTCCGTCAGATCGGAATCTCGACCGTCCAGAAAAAGAAGACCAGACGATTGAACCTTGGACGACCCCATCGTCGAACTCCCAAATCAAATGAGACAATCCAAATTTGCCGCCTTCAGGTCCAGGTGACACTTTCCAATCAGGGCGTGCTCCCGGCGGATTCATCTTCCATCCCCTTCCGGGTTCAGCCAATGCGCTCGGACCAGCGATTGAGCAAAAAACCGAATCTGCAAGCGCGACAGGCCTGTCACACTTTCCCTCCCACACCGCCTCGCTCTACTACGTACCTAACCAAGTGATTCATGGCTTAGGCCGGAATCCTGACGAAGCAGAAAAACCCCACCATTCCATCACACTGGCAAAAAAGAACGGCTCCGCTACGTAAAGTGGTGGTCCCCATTCCCAGGCAGCAAATCACCATTACGGCTGCTCCTCTTCACCAAGTATGCTAGTATGCTAGTATGCCAACAGCTCTTACCGCAGTCGATCAAGAGTACAGCCACTGGGGCCACTGGGTAACAAACTAGTCTTACCGTTGCCTTCCATACCTTCGAAATTCTTAACTTCATTGCCTTGTGACCGACAAGGCAACACTTGGTAAAATGGTAAACTGTAGAAAATTTCCCTTTTTCTTTTTTTATTTTTTTTTGGCTTCTAGTATTCTCCTCCACCCCAGATGTACATATGTATGTCTGTCGGCAGGATTTCATGTAGGGTTGACTCATCCAAGAGATCCACTGTGGGCATATCATTAATTAGTCTAATCACATCTGGTCTCCTTTTTGTCTCGATCATTTGCGTCGGTGATTACGATCTGAGTCAGGTATAGTTATCTACTCCGTATAGTTCCGTAATATGGTTCGTTCGTGTCGGAAGGGGTTAATGAAACTTTTGATGGATGCTTCCGGAGCGAGAGGAGCTCGGAAGATGGGAGATGGAGATGATGGAGAGAGAGAGAGAGAGTCTCTTCGCCCACACACGCCCCAGAACCAGCGTTCCAATCCATCAGTGTCTCGCCTTCGGTCGTTGGTTGGATGCATGAAAGGGCCCCGGCCTTGTCGGTGGAGATGGTCCGTTCCCCTCCTTTCCTATTTGTAGCCGAACCCTCTCACTAGTCTTCGCATCATACATCTTGCTAGCCCCTCTCCGTGGGTCGCCGTCGTTCCCAATCAGCGTCATCCGTCCATCTTGCATGCTTAACATGTAACGGAGAAGTTACATAAAAGGGGGGGCAAAGGGATGGTTGATTCGTTCCGAATCATGAGTGGCCGGCGGTTTCCTGTTTCTGATTCGACTTCCTCTTCTTATGAGGCGAAACTAGTCTGAGGTAATTTTCGACAGGTGGTGGTGGTGGTGGTGGTGGTGGTTGTAGTGGTTGTTGTGGCCACTCTGGACCAAACTCGAATGGCCCACGAGTGTTTCTTTCGCCCACGTATTTAATTTCTTCTTGCTGACTGATTTTTAGCCTTTGGGGGAGGGGGATCGAGTATTAAAAATAATTAAAATAAAATCAGTCCTACGAAAATAAAATAAAATCGCTTGGTTTTAAAAATAAATAAATAAATATTTTTTTTGTTTTTAATTTTGCATTTTGAAATTATTATTATTCTTCCTCTTTTATTTTTATTGGGATTTTCCCATTTCCCCTACACACTCCGCTCCCTCTCACTCGCTCCTTATCGCTATTGTCCTCTTGTCTTCATACTTACTTCTTCTCGCTCTCCCTCCCCACTCACTCTCTCTCTCTCTCTCTCTCTCTCTCTCTCTCTCTCTACCTCCTCTCCCTCTTCTGTCCCTCCCGGTTCCTGCCCTCTATATTCACCGTTTTATCTGTCTACGTTTTTGTTTTAGTTTGATTTGTTCACTGTTCTCGTGCGTTTCATTCCCTTTTCTGACTCAGCCCGGACAAACACCCCCCCCCCCCCCTTAAAACTATCCATCCATCCATCCACCGCAATCTGCAACTACACCCCTACATAATACAAGACGGTCGGTACTTGTCGGCCACATTATATCTATCCGTTGGCCACCACGGTCCGCCTCCAATACCAACCTCCCTGGTTTGCTGGACTACCTAACTTCCTGAGTGTTGGACATTGATTACTATAAAAAACTAAGAAAAGTCTCTGGGCTGTGCAACATCCCGAACGTTGCCACAACTACCCACGTCTACTTACTACTGCAACGGCCACTGCCAAAAAAAGAGACATCAAGATCTACAACTGGATCAACCTCGCCACTTGGATTTCCCCATAGGACCTGCATTACTCTTCCCGTTGACAGGCGTCTCCATTCCCTTCATGGATCCTTAAGGCGACTTCTTCTTGTTCCGTGTGCTATATAAATGCTGGTTTTGGATGTTTAAACCCGTCCCCACTGGATTCTAAAGGACCATTCTCAACCCGGATCACCGACTTTCTATCCCTTACTTCCTTTGATCAAACCCTCTCTTCCATCCGGACGGAGAGAGTTCCCTCGTTCTGGTCTCCTGGGATCCACTTGATCATCTTTATCACCCTTATCTTGTCCCCTTGACCCCCCGCTGCCCTCATGCTTGCTCCATCTCCGTTGAGCATGTACCCTCCAATGCTCCCCACTCCTCCGCCCTCTCCGCCTATCACCCGCTGTTATGCGCCGGAAGACCGTTTGGGACTGCTCTTGGCCAACCGGCTGGAGTTGATTGGAATCCTGGGAGTAGGTGCTTACGGTGTCGTCTACACGGCCATTGACATCCATACCAATGTGATGTATGCGGTCAAGGCCCTCAACAAAGCTGGACTGGATCCTCGCCAGCTCAAGTTTCAACAGCGCGAGATCAAGTTGCACCATATGGCCAGTCAACACCCCAATGTGGTTTCCTTGGTCCGCATAATGGATTCCGTCGACTGCACCTATGTAGTCATTGAGTTCTGCCCCGAAGGTGACCTGTTCTCCAGTATCACGGAGAAAGGCAACTTTGTGCATAATGACCCCTTGGTCAGGCGGGTGTTCCTTCAAATTCTGGATGCTGTTCAATACTGCCATAACATTGGAATCTACCACCGGGATCTCAAGCCGGAAAACATCCTGGTGACCGACCAGGGGTTGACCGTCAAGTTAGCTGACTTCGGCCTTGCTACCACGGATGCCTGTACATCGGATTTCGGTTGCGGGTCAACTTTCTACATGTCACCAGGTACGTACCACCACCCCTTCCCCCCCCTCCCTTGATCCCCCATCCCTTTCCTCATCGACCGAGATCAGTAGCTAACAGGTGGTCTGCAACATAAAGAATGCCAGCAACCAAATCCCCGCCCAATGTCATGGTATGAATCCGCTCCCAATGATGTCTGGAGTCTGGGCGTAATCTTGGTCAACCTGACCTGTGGCCGCAACCCCTGGAAGCGTGCCTCTCCCGAGGATTCCACATTCCGGGCCTACCTGAAGGATCCGTACTTCCTCAAGTCTATTCTTCCTTTGACCGATGAGATGATCTGTATCTTGAGTCGCATCTTCGAGTGCGACCCAAGAAAGAGGATCACCATCCCGGAATTGCGCACCATGATCCTGGAATGCCCGCAGTTTACCATTCCTCCCTGGGGTTCCATCAACGGCCCAATGCCGGTCGACTTTGTCAATAACCCACAGGTCCCTGTGCACCACATCCCCTCGGATGTCTATGGTTCGCAGTCCTCCGTCTCTTCTGGCTCCTCACATTATTCCGACTCGTTGCAGTCGGCGGTGTCGGATGCGTCATCGTTCACGGAAGGCTACCCCGACGTAGACAGTGTCTCGTCGATGTCTTCCGTGGGACTGGACTGCGAGGCCGATTGCAAGAACATCTTCGCGACAACGGACTCGGTCACGTGCAGTGACTTCGTTGAGCCGCTGCTGATGCCTTTCCCACAACCTATCCCGGTCCCTGCCTACTAAGCAGTGGTCCCTTCAAAAATTATTTAACGCAGGTTTATGATTTAACGGCAATACCTTTCGATTGCCCAGGGATGCACCTAAACATTCCTTCGACTATTTCTGGGTTACATCGCCTTGCATTTCTGAAGCGACAAGTGTATTATTTCACGGCGCAGAAAGCCTTGGAGAGCAGGTTTTTTGAACATGTGCCTTAATTTCTTTCATTTGGATTCTTTCCTGGATTTGTGGATAATACCCGGATGATTGCCCGCTGGATAATGGCCAGTGTGCCGGAGTTGCCTTCTTGGACAGGTTTCCGCCAACTCGCTCCGTGAGGTTTTGTTGGATGTCGGAAACGTTGATTCTGTTTTATTAGTAATATGTTTCTCTTTACTTTTTTTTTCTTTGTTCTTATCTATGATACATCGCTCTCGTTTTGGGTGGTATTTGTGGGCTTTTTATGATACGCTTGTTATCATGATGGTTGATTGTTGGCGTTCACCTCCCTTGATCCTTCTTGTTGTTTCTCACCTTGGCATCGAAAGAAGAAAAGAAAATACCCCTGGATCAAGACAGCATTGCATTGTTTCCTATTTGTACGGAGTTTGTGGAGGGCCGCTTGGATACTTTGGTTACACTTTCACTCTTTTTTCTCGATGATACCTGGGAGCCGGGGAGGAACAACTCCCCGCTCTTGATCTCGTTTTTGATCTTTTCGTTTCGATCTATTGGTACATAGCTTTTGATCTGTTGGTTCGATGTGTCGGGCCCAGATCGGTTCGGTTCCCCTCTGATGGAGGTATTTGAGATAGCCATACGAGAGTTCACCCAGGTCGGTCCGCACATGGGCCGACCAGAAGGGGTAGAACCAGAGTGAAGCGTGGATACAACGCTATAAATAGAGATATGACGACCGCGATCTCTTCGTCCTCATCTTTCTTCTATTTTTCTACTACCGACCTCTCATTTCTCAATTTCGTCTCCCTCTACCTTTTTTTTTGTTTATTCTTAATGGAGTATCCACCGGAGATAAGGTGTCCGCTATGATGCGGTGAACTTAGACTTTTGTTTGTTTTGCGTTTATTCCTGCTCTAGACGGAGCCGATCTTATTGCACTCTGACATGGCGGGGCCCAGGGCACCACTGGGCTTGCGTGGCATGGCCACCCTTGCAACCATTCTTCGTTGGCGAGCGATGACACTTCATGCGTTATCTGTTCCAGTCCTGAGTTCACGGTGGGTCCGGCGCTTCCAGGCAGCTCCGCCAGGTGATAGCTTCATTCTGAAACGGAGATTGTTTTGACCGAGATGCTCTAGCCCTTGAGGACTTGTGTCATTTCAACGGCTTCTATTTTTATCAGACGGCGTCTGACGTGCTCGTGCGGGCTCGCACAGGCCATGAACTTGTTCTCTTTAGTCGTATGTATGTATATACTATTCCTTATACCGATGTATTATTATGATCCACGTCATCGTGATCTCCTTTACTTATCCACAGCGAATAATATACCGTCCGCCGGGGTCGACTAAGCCGAGAAAGCTTTCATTGGTGCCAACCTCATGGTTAAGTATATAGAGCTACCGGGTAACTAATCGATTCAAGGCCCTACATGTTCCTGCCACCAGTAACCCGAATCGTCTCACCCGTCACATACGAGAACAGGGGACTAGCGACGGCCAAAACGGACTTCGCCGCCTCCTCGGGCGAGGCAGGTCTTCCCAACGGAATATCCGGGTACGTCTGTTTCTGCTCGCCCGCGCCGCCCTGGCGCGACTCCAGCTGCTTCCCGGGAATGCCCAGCGCCACCTTGGTGCCGTCTGGCGTGGTGATGAACGCGCCCTTCTCCTTGGCTGCCGTCAGCCGGGTCTGCACATGGCCAAAGGCAATGGTGTTCGACCGGACCCCGAACGCCGGACCCCATTCTTTGGCGATGGTCTTGGTGAGTCCAACCACTCCGGCCTTGGCGAGGGCGTAGTTAGCCTGGCCTCTGCATTATCATCAGTAAGAAAAATTAAAAGTTCCCATCGTGGTGACTTAAGAAAGACCATAAGAAAGACAAGAGAAAGACAAGAGAAAGACAAGAGAAAGACAAGAGAAAAACAAGAGAAAAACAAGTGAAAAACAAGTGAAAAACAAGTGAAAAACAAGTGAAAAACAAGAGAAAGAATACATACGCATTCCCATGAATCCCACTCGTACTGCTGATATTAATGATCACCCGCGGCTCTCCATCCTTCACCCGGAAATACTTCGCCGCAGCACGAACCAGCTTAAACGGCGCCGTATTGTGAACAGCCAACATAGTATCCCATTGTTTATCCGTAATCTATAGAAACCAGATTAGCAACCGCCATATAAAATCCAAACACCACCCAACCCGCACATATATATATATCAAGAAAGAAAGTAAAGAAGAATAAAAGGAATAAAGGAACAAACCTTATGAATCACCCCATCCCACGTAAACCCAGCATTATTAACAATAACATGAATCTTGCCATTCCCGAACTCGGCCGTCTTCTTCACCAACGTCTCGATGTATGCATCATCGAGAATATCCCCCGTGACGGCGATGGCCCGGTTCGGGCCCACGGCATTGATGGCGTTGGCTGTGTTGGTGGCTTTTTCTGTATGTTGCTTTAGTATCTTGTCCTCTTTCTTTCTTTCTTTCTTTCTTTCTTTTTTTTTTTAATGGGTTGTTTTTATGGCTAGTTCTACGTATAGATAGGGAAGGAGAGAGGAAGTAAAGCAGGGAAAAAGAAACATACCAGCATCAATATCAGCAATGACGACCTTGGCGCCTTCATTGGCGAATAGCTTTGCGGTCTCGGCGCCGATGCCTTGGCCGCCGCCGGTGATGATGGCGACTTGATTGGCGAGGAGGCCTTTGGGGTAGTTGAGGTGGGAGGAGATCTGGGAGAGGCGGTGGGCCATTTTGGGGGTCTTTCTTTTCTTTCTTTTCTTTTCGTTTCGTTGGTGCAGGGTAGCTGTGGTAGCTGTGGTAGATTGGTGGAGTGAGGTGGTTCTTATACGGGGTATTGCAGGGTTACGTTGTGAGGGGTGTCGGGGTAAGGATGGATGATGCACGCACTTTGGATACAGAGTTAAGCTTGCCGAGGCCCGTGGTTGCAGCCGAGTGCCGACATGCGTTCCTTGTATGTACATACATAGATCGATGATGGGGAGGAATAAAAATATCAGAGTGCATTAATTGGTATCCTGGGAAATAAATAATTACAGTGTTTGTTGTTCATGTGTTTAAATGCAAATACAGCTCATCGGCTGCAGATAGGCTTCCACCGTTTCTTCGTATCCGCGGATGATCTGCCGCAGCCAGCTCCCCTCCAGGTCTGCGTTGCTGGACAGTTCGATTGTTCCTTTGAGTGATGCCACCACCTCCTTACACTGTTGGAGTCGGCCTCGGATGAGCACGCGGCGCACTCGTCGCGTCTCCTCGGGCCCCAATTCATACGCGCCGTACCCGACTTCGTCGTTGCTCGCACAGACGTGCGCGGCGCATTGGTAGGATATCCAGTAATTGAACAGCTGTAGGGCCAATCCCAGTGTCGTTACGGATATTAGCACGTGCGCGTTATCCTTGTGGCAGCTGTGGCACTGCAGGAACCCTCGACAGACCGACAGCGCCTCCTTGACAGCCTGCAGGCCCTGATCAAATCGCGTATGGATTGGGTCAGCCACAATATGTTGTAGACGGTTCGCATGGAACTCTATAGTCTCACCACAGTCGCATACGGGCTGTAGTACATTGGGGATATGTACGGCAAGTGGAAAGCTTGTCAATCCTTTCGTGATAAACTCTTTCTGGAGAAAGGTCGGTGACATAGAAGCCGCATGCGTCGAATCGGGTAGCGAATCCCTATACGAAGTCGCGTAGTCCGCCGGCGACTCACTTAGTAGCAAACATGTATTGGCTATACTATTTTGACTTAGAGGACTGTCTGTGAGCTGTTGACTGGGTTCTCGCGTCTAGATTCACCACAACTTAGCTCGATGCTACAACTAGGGCAGGAGGAAAGAAACGAACCTCACTCTCACTTTTATTCAGCTCTTGATCCGCACGCGGTGGTTCGGTGGCTTGGGGAGCCCTGCGTTTCGTGCTCCTCCCAGAGACTTGAAGTGCCGACGTTTCCTGAAGCTGGCCCAGTTTTCTCAATGTAGCTCGGTTTTTGCTGCCCTTCGGCTTACCAGACCGATTGGCGACCCGGTACCGACATTGTAACCCATGCCGGAGACAGCGGATGCAAGTATTCTTTCCGCCTAAGTTGCATTTGACCTTGGATTGTCGACAATTCTCGCAAGCGGCCCGGAGCTTAGGGCCATCCCCACCATTACATGGGGGTTTGTCGGATCCCGCAAGCATTTAGTACCTGAGAGAGTGGGTGAGATTTCACAGTGAGGTTGTAGTCCGGCAGCCCCAATCAATATGAGATTTTGTCCCAGTGGCTGATAATTTAAACCCCCAAGTATATTCGGCACTGGATCATTTGACCGAAACTAACAATACTAACCACGACAATATCAGACAAATATCGCCTAAACACTGCTATATATCCCAGGAGAATGGTTGGAACCCCAGTTTCGTATCAGGATTTTTGAACCGACGGGAACCGCATATGAAGTCAGCCGTTGTGAAACCTGGCGACTTCATCTGATCCACACTGGCATGGAGATGCCAACCAGCGTGGCCACTCTGATGGCTGGCGCTCGCAGCGGTCCAACTGACCCCAAATCTTACGGATCCGAAAAGGCAAATGCCAGATGCTTGGCCACCACCAATGGATCCTTATAGGAGACTGTCAGCGGTAGCCACTTGGCTCTGGGCTTCCAAGCACAGAGTCTGGCAACAAGCTCAGGTGCGACATAGTGGGAAAAAGCTGTGGGGCCATCGAGGCCAAATAAGTTTATCCATCAGAAACAGCCTTTGCGAGAGCGAAGCACTCCTGTCTGACGTAGCACCCAATGGTGAAAAGCATTTACTGTTGAGCAAGTGCTCAGTGTATGCAGGCCAGCACACACCATGTGAGCTGTAAATCGAGCAAAAACTGGATGTCTATTTGCCTGGCCACATCTTAAAAAGGCCGGTGAAGTGAGCGGTGAACATGCAACGTTCGCGGGAACCTTCTTGTCTGGTCAAGAATCAACAACATCTTCTTCGCCCCCTTTTTATTCTGCCCTCGACAAATTTTTATTCCTCCCATACCCTCCCCTCCCCTCTTTCCCATGTTCTGGCAAGCTAAGCTGCGTGATAGTCAGCAAGGGGGTGGTTAGACACATCTCGTATTTGCATGCCAGCAGTCAGCATCACATCACAGCCCGTCAATTACATCGGATTGGATTATTGCTACATGGTTAACTGTAACCTGTTGCTGCTCGTGTGATCCTGCGGTTGCCTCGGCGAATCATCCAGTCAGTACGCGGAGCAGCGCTCGGCAATCCCACTGTGTCTGTAGTCAAATGCCCTCAGTAGCCCAGTCAGATGAGCCACGGCAGCACACACCACCAGCACATGAAAGATCTGATGCGAACTGCCCCAAAGATCGAACTGGCCCGGTCGCAGACGTTCGGGGACCCGAGCGGCGTAGATCCCAGCTCCCAGGATATACAAGAATCCCTGAAGTAGCAGCCACCCGAGCCCTATTTGGCGCGTCATCTGTTCAAGACCATACGCCCGTAGCCCGTGGATGACGGGCACCACCGCTGATAGGCCCATGCCGACAAACATGGCGGCGCGGAATGGCCGCCACCGGGGAGTCCGAAATTGGGGCATAATCGAAACAAACACACAGCCAATCCCAATGGTGCAGATCATTGTCCAATATAGTCGTTGTAGCCCAGGCTCACAATAGAACCCATAGTATACACTAGGGACAAAACTGCCCACAATCAGAGCTACGATACCTGCATAATCAAGGGTATTTCCTATGCGCGCGACAGTCGGCGAGTGGTTCGAAATCGTATGGTACGTCGCAGACATCCCCAGGCACACAGCAGCTCCCGCAAAAAAGCAGGCGAAGCTAATGATGTCAGCCTGGGTAGCCGTCTCGTACCGAGGTGCCAGAACGCGATGAAGCAAGACTGCCCCGGGAACAGCCAGCAACGATGGCAGTAGATGCGTATATATATTAACCGTCTCATTGTGTATATATGTCAGCGATTGGAAAGAGACCAGGAACGAGAACGAGGCTGGTCGATATCCACTATGGATGTGACGGTTGTCGCGTTGCCAATGAGGCAAGTCGTTCCAGTGCAGAAGCTTCTTGAGGACCTGAGGCGGCTGCTCCATGACTGTAGCTGCAATTGCTGCAGGCGTACTGGCTTTTGACTCTTGAGCCTTCTCAGTGGGGCGGCGTTGACGACTCGGCATATTTCACATGCAGGGCGCAGAAATGATGGGTGAATCAGATAGTAGTGGAAATATTACTAAGCTCGAGGTGGATTTAAAACCAGGCACAGAAGAGAAGCGAAAGAGAAAACGGTACGCCTAGCTAGTTAAAAAAGACAGAAATCCCCATAACCCAAAGCAAGGTTGTTGTGGTTGAAGCAAACGTTGGGATGAACCGAAACGATGGATCCGATAGTATGGGAAAGCCCGTTGGGGAAACCGCACAAACCGAGCAAACACCCGCCGGTCTTTCCCGCATTTAATATGTTTATCAACTTTATGTCGAGAGCTTCATGACGCAATTTCACTCCCCACTGCATACCAAACAGTCCAGCCATGTCACAGCGCGGGAAGAGGCCTGCGAGCCGCTTGAAGCCCGTGGCGGTGGATGCCCTCGAAACGGTGGGATTCGTTTCCAAAGGCGATCGCAAGTATGCCATTCCGGTGGGGTCGTCACATTTGTGGGACTGACTTTCCTAGATTGCTGGACCATAAAGCCCAGAATGACTACTTCTCCAAAATTGTCGAACGATACATGGCATTTTGTGCCCGCCACTCGGAAGATTTAGACGCAGCGTGGTCATCTCTTCCCACAAGTGCGTCCGGCGATGCCACAAAGAACCCCCCGGCAGCTCTTCCCCAGTCGAAAGAAAAGCAGACCAAGATCCATAGTCTTTCCGCATCCACCGAACTGTCCACCCTTCTCCTTTCCCTCCGTAAGCTTCGTGAAGCGGTTCTAGCCACTGCGTCCGCAATACCAGTCTCATTCTCCCAGCGTGTCCATGTTTTCTCGGTCAAAATATCCATTCAAGCCCAGCATCCTCCGTCATATTTCCCCTCTCTCCGCTACCTACTCGAGAAACTACACTCGCCTTCTCACCCGTTACCCGAGTCGGAATTGAAAGATCTCATTTCGTATCTAATCCTTGATTACGCCTGCCGACAGGATGATTTAGTCGCCGCTTTCGAGCTGCGCGCGAAAGCGCGCCGCGAATATGCGTTCCAGTCGCCCACAGTTGACCGTGTTTTAACAGCCTTGGCGCATGATAACTGGGTCATATTCTGGCAGGTCCGAAAAGAAGTGGATTCCTCCGTCCGGGTGTTAATGAACTGGGCTGAAGATCGAGTTCGGAGACATGCACTCAAGGCTGTTGGCAGCGCTTACCTCAATGTCGGGGTGCAGTGGATCACAGAAGGCTGCACGGGAGATAACCGCTGGACGTGGGATAAACTGGTAGAGGCAGAGAAACTTGGCTGGCTGAAAGAGGGTGACAAGGTTATTATCCGAAAGCCGAAACCGAAGCCCCAATCAGTTCTTGGATCGAGTAAGGGAAATGCGTAACGACTGTCTATAACGAAGTTTATGTCTTTAATTCTCGTGTCATATCGTTAGACTGCGTTCAGGCTGGAGCACATGGCGTCTGGTTTTCAATGCTGATAGAAAAGAATAGGTGAACGTTAATATATTAGATCAATCATAGCGTACTGATCAGGTAAGCGCCATTCTGCACTGCGAATCTTCGCCGATATATTCTCCCTACGCTTCACAGTTTGAAATCTGCATTGGATCGATCCAAGTTGGTGTGTCCTGTGGCAGGTTCCTTGGCAACAAGGTCTACAAGTCCGGCCTTCAACTGCCCGGATTTGTCTGAACAGAGCTCGTAGACTGTTGACAGGTTAAAGATAAGACCGCCAAAAGACTGTCCTCCATGCACCAATGACTCCAGAATTTGACGGGCCTGTGACTTTTATTAGCTAGTTTCCAATGCCCCAGCACATAAAGGCCAAGAGTACCTCATTTAACCGGCCCGTGTACAGTAGGCATACTGCCATGTTTTGGGATAATATGGCCGTATCGGTCCCCTTTGAACCGCCCTCTAAAAGGGCTTGCCATTCTGTTACTGCATCATCGTAGCGGCCCTCAGCCATGCTCAGAAGTGGCTTGGATATAGATATTCCGGCTTCGTCTGATTCACCAGAAAGTTGCTTCGCTGCATCGATATCGCCAATCAGAAGGAAAAGGAGCGCCTTTCTCAGCTTGTTGGTTTCATCTGGCCCTGATATTTGCAAATTGTGCAGAGACCTTCTGGCAGTACTGAGATCACCCATCTCAATCAATGCATTTACACTTCGAATTCCAAGGTCGGCGAGTCTCTCCTTCCATATACTTCGTTCCGCCGAACTCAGGTCTGGCCGCATGATCTCTCTCCGCGCTTCTAGTCCAATCTCATATAGACCACCAATGCCCCTGCGTGAATCACCAAACCCAATGCTCTGGAGCCTGACAGCGAGAACACGTAGCGGCCACGGCACAATATGACGAGGGTAATTTGTGTGGCTCTCTTCGTTTTCTACATCGGACGTCGCGGAAGCCTGGTCTACATAGTAGAAGGTGGAGCTCAGGTCCTCTAGCGCTTTTGATTCTTGTGCCGCAATGATGGTATTTCCAGACAGTTCCAGACATGCTAATCGTGTGTAGAAAAGCGAGAAAATCATCTTTATGTCACTGTTCGAAATTAAAGAGGAAGTCAAGATCGTTCCCGAAAGATAGGCTGCAAGCAGGAAGTGCCCTTCAGCCAGCAGCCTCTCAAGCGTGCTGAGACATGAAGGCAGGGACTCTTCGGATGTGAGGCCAATGAACTCAGACCGCAAAGTATGCGGAATGTCAACCTGAGAGAGCGAATGATAAATATCGTACCGGAGAAGGAACGAAAGATCTTTTCCCAAAGTTTGTGGTAAGTCATCCGGTGCTAATGGATCTAATTCAGCGAATGAAGCCCCAGTGTAGCTAACAGCGTCTGCTGTATTCTGGGACTGAAGTGCACCCTCTGCATTCAGTGGACTGGCTGGGGTCAGCATGATTCTCTGCTGAGCATCTTGTTGTAGCTTACTCATTCGGATCATCTAGTGGGCCTTTGGTAGAGCTACGGGGCCGTGATGCTGGGAACGTCAGTCGACAATCTTGATGCTGTAGTCTATTGATTGTTCTTACATCTGGAAATGTTGCGGTTGTGTTTGGGACTAGTAGGATCCATGTTTGCACTGTGTTCGGATCCTAGTAACCAAGATGGAGTGTAGCTAGTACAAGGATCTATTTTATCGACTCGGTCCTGAGGGTAGGTGTTGGTTACAGTCCCAACTAATACCTCATTAGGGAGAATTCATTGCTAGTAGTAGTAGTAGTTCTTGGTGATAATAGGTGAATCGATATGGTGCCTGAATTCTGCCATAGGCGGTGAAGTGATCGGCCTGATCTGGCAAGCTGGCCCATAGTACATGTCTAGTAACTCTCCACTAGCCACAGCTTACACTCCAGCGACCACGAGTTTCTACAACCCTAACACCGGACAATCAACGATCCTTTCAACCTAAAGTGACTTCTACCAGCTTTTTGAGCTATCTGCGCACTCTATTCTCGTTCTGCATCTTTCATCATGACGTTCGCTGAGGAATTCCGCTCGAGAAACTTCAGTATGGACCTTCAGTGTTTACTTCTCGTCGATCGCAAGGAACGGAAAAGATAGCTAACCACTACGACGTATTTAGGTATCTACGGACAATGGTTTGTAACCTTTTTTCACCTCTCATTCCGTGCCCTACTGTTCTTCAGTTGATTTTCGCTCCCTTCGAAAAACGCAAACTGAGGAAACAATGGCTGCCTGGTCCTTCCAACGGATGAGCTTGGCGCTTTGAGCCGCGACGACGGGAAACTGGAATGACAACGGATCGTTCCCCACGGCGTTATTAGCACAATTCTACAAAGATCAGATCAGGCTTGTTATGAAATAAATACTGACTTGTTTCGGACCAGGACGGGTGTTGTATGCATTGTCCTATGCATCGCCCTCGGCATTGCCAACATTTTTTCGTTCAACGCTGTTCGCATCGTTTTCAGCATCCTATGCCTGTAAGATTTATCATCATAGAAGTCAAAATTGAAAGAAGCTCACGCACGCAGTGTTTCCGGTTTCATCCTCGTTTTCATCGAGGTTCCGTTTCTCCTCAGAATTTGCCCTACGTCCGAAAAGTTCGACACATTTATTCGACGTTTCACCACTAACTGGATGCGAGCTGCCATGTATACGGTCATGAGTGCCTTGCAATGGGTCAGTCTTGTCTCTGGTGCGTCGAGTTTGATCGCTGCAGCCGTTCTCCTCCTTCTCGCCGCGCTCTTCTATGCCCTAGCAGGCTTGAAGAGCCAGGAGTTTGTTGGAAGTAAGACCTTGGGTGGCCAAGGGCTTGCGCAAATGATTGTCTAAGAGAAGTCGACATGGAAGATTGTGGACTATGGCTTGAGGTATGCTTGGTTTCTCATGCCGACAAGCAACGCTTGTGGTGCTGACGACAACGCGTTACAAGTAAATCAAAGCAGGCCGAAGAAAAGAACAATCAAAATGGGAGCCGCGAGAGGGTATGAGGGATATGTCTGTGTTGAATGCGCCATGATCACGAATTGATATCGTCCTCGACGACGCTACTAACAGGTATTTTGTACTATTATCATTATGTCCAGTTGGTTTGGGTACAAAGGGAAAAGATAAAAAAAAAGATTCACCCTCGGATTTCTTGAGTTTCAAGTCGCGAGTGAGGGTTTTGGAAGAAGTTGGTCCAATTATCTTCCTGCTATGGTGATTTGTGCTGGTCTTGTTTTTTTGTTTTTCTGCTTTTGTCTCTATTATGTCTGCTGAACAGTCTGCCTTACACCAAGCTTTAGACGAGTCCTGTATCCTTACCAGTATACCTAGCGAGAATACCCTTTTAGCATCCTGGTGATGAATGAATTGATTTGAAGGGTGAAAGCTACTTGGTGTGGTTCTACCAAAAAAACAAAACAAAAAAAGCATCACGGAGAAATTGAACGTGACTGCATCAAAGAGAACAAGACAAAAATATACATATCTTATATAAGTCTACAATACCTGCTAACAATGTGGTACTGACAGCATATGCAGTATGTAGAATAACACACTAGTAGTAATGTGCTAAACTACATGAGTTCAATAGAGCAGGGATCAACCATTGAATGTGGTTTTCTGGTGCATATGTTCTTGTGTTCAACATCCCTGCAACACTTGGTTTGAGACTTGCCATGTGATCTCGGTTCGTGCAGTGGCAACCCCAAAAGGAGCAAGTCTCTCCCACGATAATTCTAAGATTTACTAGGAATCTGGAGACGATACTTGCACGTAGTACCGACTCCTGCTTTGGTTTCTCGAACCGCTGAGGTCGAAACCTGAGTTGTCCTCGGACCGAATGCCCCATTATTCGTTGAATCACTAGTTGTTGGTCTATGCAGCACTGCTAGTAGTGGTGCTAAGAATTATTGTGGTAGCCTGAACAATAGTACTAGTACCTACACGTACAGAGACTCGAATATTCGCTCCTACGTCATGGCTGTTACCCCTCCTGGAGGGGTTAAGGCTTCGTTACCCCGCGTCAGGGCAGCTCAGGTATCACTGATAGTACTACTAGTAGTACTAAAGAGAACATGTATCAATATTAGTAGGTAATGCGTAAACAAGCTGCCGTTACAAGTGAGCTGAGTCTGGGTATCCTGGTTCAAATATAGCATCTGGTAGAACAATGTTGCCGGTAAGAAAGGTAAGGTCATGTGAAAGTAGAACCAACCCCCCCCCCACCCGATTATCAGAATCACATACTTCGATGAATGAATGTGGACGCGGAGGAGGCTTCCAAGGCGCAGTAAAGATATAGATTGTTCGAGGTAGACTTTTGTTACGGAGTAGTACTCCAGAGGCAAACAATTGTTCCTGCTGAGCAGGTTCCCGAGGGGTTCCGTCAACAGCTCAAGATCTGATTGGACTTTTCCCATCCAAATGTTGCAACCTGATATGGTCGTCTGGTGTATTGCGTGTCCATGTCGATGCGTCGCTAGGGTCTAGACTTCCTGGGCTGTATGATATTTATCCTGGTGATATTATAGGTTACGAGGTTGGATTCTATCGACGGATGTGCCTATGTATCCACGTATATTTTGTAGATATTTATACTCCAGCTATCCAGTCCTCGAGATTGAATGTGAATATGGTATATTTGAAGAAGTCCGGTCTACCGGTCTCAGTTAGAATCGATTAAGCTACAGGAGAATAATTAGCGGAAATGAATCCTACAGCTGCTACTACAGTAGTACAACTTGGTTGCTGTACAATATGCTAGGAAAAATCATCAACCACGCCTGGATGCCGTACTCCTTTGATACTGCTGCACGAAGTCCCACTTGTGGCGGTTATCGTGGCCGAGAAACACTAACAGATTACAGTAGATAAGACGGTAGATATGGTCAGGATGACGAGACCAGGTTAAGGCTGAAAGCTGGCAGTTATTGAGTGTGGACCCATAAGTGTAACGGAGGCATCCCCACAGTGGATCCGGTGAAAAAAAACTAAACTGCTTTCTGAATGTGCAATAGGACTACCAAATGAGGAACGAAACTCAGAATAGTGGATTTGGTTGGGGTCTTAGATTCCAGTGTCAATGCTCCTTGGGTTAAGGTACTCTGTACGGAGTACAGACAGGCATATCTATCAATGATAGTACAGCATATATGTCCTGCTCCACTTGGGGCTTTTGGTTTCTCCTCCCAGGTAAGTGAAAACAAATTTACTGGGAATTCTATCAGAAGGTCGATGATACGTATGATATAGAGCTTCTTAGTTCATGATGCAAATTCTAAATGGTAATGCGGAGTCGAGATCCTCTCACCGCCTCGGCCAGTCAGGCTGAGCGCGATACCATCGATATGTAGTATGTACTTACTGCGTATGGAAGCCGTCTCCTTTGAGTCTGTACTCTGGAGTACAAACTGTACATATCTACCATATACATCTATTTCGGATGATAGCTAACCGTCTCCAATGACATACTTTTCTTCTCTTCACTGTCTTTTTCAAATGTCAAAATTCGCCAGTCAGTCTCCTGAGTACATGCCTGTAATGTCTGTAGGTAGTATCGGGTACTACTAATATAAGATAAGTATGCATCCTTGTATGGTCCTGTACGTGGGGTCGATCAAGACCTGTAAATAAGACCATGTGCGGATACTCTGCACAGCCACACGAGGGGCACTGCGACCACTCTCAGCAAGGGGAATTTCAATCAAATTGAAGCTACTGCTCTGTACAGAGATAAGGTGGACTATTACCGGGTCTGTATCACTGATCATATCTCAGGGTCGTGGCGTTGGCTATTAATACCTTAGATGTGGATCCATGGTCTGGCCCAAGACAGCTGTCTTAAGGAGTTATTCTAAACGCAGAGGGGGTTTTTTTTACAATGAATTTAAAAAGGTAATAATCGGATACTGATGGAAGAGCTCGTTGTTTTCTGGTACTGTCAAAACATGGATCCTGCACATCACCTTTAATATGAGTGATTTTAAACCTTCCACGGCATGTAACTAGCCATCGAAAACACTACATTTTCAAATGATGGCTTACTTAACTTGCTACCTGTGTACGTACTTGCATCTAGGTGGAACAATGCATATCAGAGCCAAAAAAAATGCCTCAACGAAGAAGACCCAAAAAAAAAAATCTATCGTGGCAGCTGCAGACATGCATCCATCACCTCCCTTCCCCTCAGGAGTTTCAGCTCTCATTGGCAGATAATCCAGGAATAATCGGACCCATTAGAGATGTCACTGAATGTTCCTTGTTTTATTTGTTCATTTGGTAAGGCCGCTCTATAGAAGATGTACTGAGAACGGCAGATCACGCCTATCTTTATCTAGTGTCGATACTTCAGTGGTACCTCGATCTACTCTGTAAATAGGAGAAAAGGACAAATAACCTAATAGAAAAGGGGACCCAGTCTAGAAAAAAAAATAATAATACAACGTCAGTAAAAAGAGGAAAGCCCTTGAATCAACCTGAAAAAAAAAAGAGCTTCAAGCGGGGCCAACTAAACCCCACGAGGAAGCAAGCTGAGTCTGTAATTGCAACGATTGACGCTCGTTGGCTCACAGCCCATGGACGGTTACCATACGGTTTCCGTACCATTTAGGGAGCAGTCTGATAGCGTCAGAGAGCGTCACGCGACGGGGCGGTGGGCCGTGGCAGGAAGAAAGTAGTTAGACTGGGTTTACGGCCACTTTGCGGCAAGGTGACTGGTAGTCATACATCATCTCTGCTCCTGCTGTGTCTTGAGAACCTTTGGTACTTGCTTTTTTCTCCATTCTTCTCCATTCATCGTCACTTTCTGTTGTGCATACTCATCTTTGACCTTTCTTACTCACAAGCATTCCTTACTAGGAAAGTTGTACCCCCGTTTGACCACTCAATTGCTTCCATTTCATCGTCCGTTTATATTCAGACAGCTCTACAACTCCCCCGTGCTTGCTTCTTGTTATCGTAACACTTGGTGAGTAATCTCGCCCATCCCCCTTTGTTTGCTTTCCCTCTTTTCTTTTTCTTTAATGCAGCACATCGTTCCCTTTTTCCTTGCCAGGATCTATAAAGGAATGCAAGATCATCTTCAACACTTTTGGGCGGCGTGGCCAACATTGCCATCAGCTTTGCATACACCAATCTTATCTACTACTATCTCAGATTACGACTGGTGCTCCGAACATATCTTCTCCTTCCAATAGGATTCCTCCTAGTTCAAATCCCACCAAGTTGGAGAGACAGGGGCTCGGAACAAAATTACTTCCCTTCCCACTTCAATTGGCCCTGGCTTTGTGTGTACAGCACAAGCTATCCTGCTAGCTATAGCTTCACTCGCACGGCACTGCCCCCTCTCTTACCCCCTGAACTTGCCCATGTGACCGAGGAGCGTTCTCAACCTGGCACTGAGGGAGGCTAACATTACCAGCAGTGCACCTTCTAGTCTACACCTGATCGAATTGCTAGGCTCCATCCGTCATGACAACACAACCTGCACCCGTCATCCCCCCTCGACCGTCAAGGTCGCCTAACCAGCAGGGTCTTGCACCTGCAGATGTGCCCAAGATCCCACCACGTCCCACTCGTCGCTTTGATCGCTCTGTGTCTCCTCTTCGAGATAGCTACGCCCCGTCTCCCTTGAATGAGCCACCCAATGGCCCGGGCTTGAGTCGCACCATTTCCCAAGATGGGCCGCAGCGACCTCCGAGTGTGACGATACCTTCACTTGGTGAAGAAGGCAATGAATACGAAGCTTTGAACATGGGTGATGTCTCCGAGAGCCATCGAGAGGGCCACCATTCGACCCCCACAGAGATGCGCAACGTGGGTAGCGATCTGAAGCTCCATGCGCCGAGGCCTTCACTACCTTCTTCCAGCGCCAAGGCCAAGCTGCAAGCCGTCACACGTACAGATTCTCGTCAGGCTGCAGCAGCAGGTCTTGGTGGGACATCATCCCCCACTCCTGATGACCACCATGAACGACCAACTCGCTCGTTACAGTCTCGAACAAGTTACTCGCGTGCGGACTCTTCGACTTCCATTGATCGACGATTGTCTATGAACGGTGATGAGCATGGGATTAGGGTTCCAATGTACCCTAATGCGGGCGATGTACAAGCCCCTTCCCCAAGTCCATACCATCTGGAACAGAATTCGGGTCAGCGCTCTGGCCGCAGCCATAACCGAACTCGGAGTGGTCGTGAAGCTTCTCTGCCACCAGGAAGTTATGGTCTTCACGGACATGGCGTACAGCCCAATGACAAGTTCGAGAAGGCCTGGTACGAAAAGCACCCTGACGAATATGCCAAGGAAGAGCAGGGTCAATATGGCCCCGGAGTTGGATCGCCACGGCCAGACTGGGCATTGAGTAGTGATGATCTGAACAAGATTGTACGGGGCTCTGCTGTGACCGGGAGTGGGCTTGGTGAGTTGCTTAGATGGGTCTGGAAAATTGTCCATGCGACGTTAACTAATCGATGATAAACTTAGGCACGTCACCTGCTGTAATCGGAACCCCAGAAGAGGAGGTTGGTTACATTGCCGCTGACGAATACACTCACCGTCTATCATCACCGCCGCCTGAATCGCGCCGTGGCTCCCGCCTTGTTGCTGAGTCACCTTTGCGCAAGGAGAGCATGCCTTCAGTCGAGACTGAGGGCCAGCAACAAACCGCAGCCTCTGAAAATACCGCTCACAAGCCAGAAGAGTCAGGGGTGATACACGTTGACGAACCATATCATCACCTACACCATCCTGATGGCTTCGCTCAAACTCCAGGTCCCGAAGAACTCTCTGGCAAGCTTGGGGAGGGTGATGTAGATGAAGATGAGCCTATTCTGGCTGCTGATGAGGTGCGCCCAGAATCTGCTTTCCAGCACCCCGCCGTATCCCCCACATTCGACAGAAGGGAAAGTGTGGAGGTCGATAGGAGTCACACCCCAAGCGTCACCCATAGCCGCTCGAACAGTAGAACTGCGGGCCACCGCAACAGTCTGCCAACCCTGGCAAGGTACAATTCGCGCGACGAACGGGAAGAGACGCACACCCCACTTGAGGATGTTGAAGAATATGAGCCTCTGTTCCCGGAGGATGATAATGCAGAGAAAAAACCTCTTTCGACCGCCGACCGCTTTAAAAAGCGACCAGATGTGCTCAAGCACCGGTTCCCTAGCCAAGACATTTGGGAAGATTCGCCGAATAGCTTGCAATTGCACGCTACCGTGTCTACACCGGATGTTCCTAAGAACGAAAACTTTGAGACTCCGGAGCAGGAGTCCTTCCGTAGAAGCCAGGCTAACCGCGTTGACCCACACAAGATTGCATCACAGATTCTACAATCGGAAGAACATCTCGATGAGAAGTCCGTATCACGTCCAGATATTACCAAGCAGCGATTTCCCAGCAGGGATATCTGGGAAGATGCCCCCGAAAGTCAAAAGCTGGTAACCACAGTAGAGTCGGCAGAAGAGGGAGAGGTCAAGAGCCCAGATGTGCCGACGAAACCTAACATTCCAATTCGACCCCAGAAGCGCCCTCAACAGCCCCCCCCAGTGGATGCTTCTACAAAGCCAGTCACCTCGCCTACTGAAAAACGCCAACCACCTTCAATTCCTGACCGTCCCAAGCCCCAAGTCCCGATCCGGCCAGCTAAGCCCGTGTTCCCTGGAACTGGCGGAGAGTCGAAAGATGCTACGGCCAAGCCGAAGCCAGCAGTGCCGGCCCGTCCGGGAGGTAGTAAGATCGCTGCTTTGAAGGCAGGATTTTTGTCAGACCTAAATTCCCGTTTGCAGCTGGGCCCTCAAGCGCCACCGAAGCCACAGGAGAAGAAAGCAGAGGACCCTCCTGCAGAAAAAGCTCCTCTGAGTGATGCTCGCAAGGGAAGGGCCCGTGGGCCCGCACGAAGGAGACCGGCCGCTGAAAATGTGGCTGCAAAGTTGCCAACGATCTCAGAAGTCAGGATCACTGAAACCTGGAATGTTTGGGAGGTTAATGAAGCTGGTAATTTGGTTGTTGGTAGTGAAAAACAGGTGGATAAGAACGAAGTCGCTGCTCCTGACACGACAACGTCAGAAAACAACACCATGGCTCCCCCAATAGCGAAGAACACTGCCGGTGAGTCGGCTGATCCTCAACCAACATCACCCATAGAGGACCCTGTATTGTCGAGCGAGTCAACCCCAGCTGAGTCCCAGCCACCGACATCCACAGAAGCAGCCCACACAGTAACGAGCTCCCTCGATGATGAGGGCCCTGCCGTGGTACCAACAGCCAAGCGAGATGAGCCAGAAGCTTCCTCTGAGGTGGTGTCTGCCGAAACTGATGTCGATAAAACGCAGAGCACTTTATCGACTGAATCAGGAGTAGAGGATGTTGCTGAAGTTGCGGCTGCGACAGCCGATGGAAAGCGGCTCTCGGAGGGTAACTAAGGAAAATTCTTGAAGCGTAGTCGTTTTGCGTTGTATTTGTTGTTTACCTGTTTCATCTTTTTTTACCAGCCAGTAAAAGACATACTACCACCTGTCACGGTGTAGCAGTCATAGAATTTACTGACCGAGAATCTTTCATGTCCTTCATTGGACGTAATCCCGCCCCAGGTAACGAGTGCAGTTCTCTTTGGCAATCTATGCCGCCGTACTAATAATAATAGTAGTAGTAGTGACACATACAGCTACGATATGGCTTATTGAGTATTCAATGCACAAATTTCCCGATCAATCATCCCATTTGTGTTCCTCCTGGCCAAGAAACAAAAACTATATATAAGGGTACTCTCATCTGACATCCATATCAAGTGCTGAGCAGAATATGAAGAAGATAGAACGAATAACAGAGAAGGGGGGCTGGAAGGGTAATTAACATACCTAACGCAAACCAGGCAAACACGGTTTTGCAATTTTGATACTACTAGGAGTTGCAACTTGAATTAAGGAAAACATCACGATGTATGAATGTGTTCAATCATATCAGAATAGCAGAACAATTGTGATGAGCAGTGAGGAGGGCGGGATTGGTCTCTTTCCATTCTGCCTCCGGTTCTTATATTGAATTGCTTGTTTGATTGGGTATCATGGTATTGTTAGGGGCTTTGGAATCATCTAATAGGAAGTAAATTTTTCACTCCCAAGCGCTATGTGGGGAGAGTATAAAGGTCATTTTAACTGGCGGGTAGGTTCTTCAGATCGCCCTTTCCGTCCTTGATCCATTCTGGGTCAATCAGGCGCTCTCTCTCCGCGTAGAGCTGCTTGTAGGCACCGCGGATAGTTCCGTCGCTGACATGAGCGACCTGACTGATTTCTTTGGCAGTTTTGCCGTGCCCCATCAGATACGAGGCCATGTAGATACAAGCCGCAACAATGGACAGAGGAGACCGGCCCGCCAGGTCTCCCATGGTTGTGACACGATCAGAAAGTGCAGAAGATACACTGGTCACTTGGAAGGGCAAATCCAGAAGATTGCAGAAACGGTTGCACAGGTCGCTGGGTTTGGTGGAAGTTGTTGCGGTGTATGTGTCGTTGGGATCTGGAACACCACCGTTTGATACCACGGCGTTGTTTCTTTCCAGGTTCTGGGCCGTGAAAAACTTCTCCAGCGCCTTGTAGATTCGGCCAATTTCCTTCCTTGACACTTTCGTGACTGCGAAAATTTCAGTGAAGGTACGGGGTACCTTGCATTGACGGCAAGCGATGAAGATACAACCCGCAATGATCACATCTTGGGACTTCCCTTTGAAAGCCTTCGCATCATCGACGATCTTGAAAAGATACTTGGCGGTATCAGCGACATTCTTCTGAATGCTAAATCCATCGCACAAAGCACCGATCTCTTTGTAAGCAGCCAGAAGAGACTTGTTCGCCTTCTCGCTCGACTGCTTGTTCTGAGCACGATACAGGTCACGAACACGGCCAGAGCCTCCGCTTGCGATTTGGGTCTCCAGTTGGTCGCCGTTAAGCAGGGGGTTTGAAGCGTCTCCGACACGAGATGGATCATCGTTGTTCTGATCGTCGTTGGAGAAAGTACGCCATTCAGAATGCATGTCAATTTCCCGATCAGCGAGCACTAAACCACAAGACCCGCATACAGTTTCATGCGACCCGGGAAACTCCAAATTGGGTGGGACCTCCTTGCACTCAGGACAGATAAGATGATGCGAAAGGTTTTTTTTCCACTGACCAGGTTCCGGTCTGGCTTGGGGTGGAGCGGTGGCCATTTTGCGAGACTGTATAGCGGACTTGATACGTTCTCGTCGGCGTTTCGCTAACCTTTTGGCAGAGATAGGGAGATTATGTTTGCGAGCACAAAAGCGAACGAAGAGTGGTGAATACAGGTTGACGGCTGTATTCCGACAAAAGTACAATCAAGGCAACACTCGTCTTCGGATGTACCAGAGAAGGAGAGAATGACAGGGGCGCAAATCGCTGACTAGTATGCAAGCCACGTTTCTGCGTCACTGCCTTCGGAACCACGTTAGCTTGAAGGCCCCCAAATGAAATTTAGGACATGTTGTTGAAAATCCACAGCCATCTCTCCTAAATCTCAAAGGGACCAGATTCTCAGTTCAATGCTATACCTTTCCAGGGAGCCCTCCACTCCTGATTCTGCAACTGTCCCCAGTAAAGAACTTTCGTGGGTTGAAACGAGTAGAAAGACCTCCTGCTTTGGCGTCCTAGAATCCTCGAAGCCTCGAAGCCAGGCTTGTCCGACCGCGATAAACCAGTCAAGGTCTCCGTGAGAGATGTCTCACGAAAGAGGGTCGTGGAACCTGACAGGTAGCCGCTGCAAGTGAGATCGTTCGATCGAGACGAGCAGAGCAACGTCGAGTACCGAGCTCCTAGGGGGAGAGAGCCGTGTGGAACGAAAGACGGATATGCGACTTTCGTTTGGGGTTGAAAAGAGGGAAGGAAAGAGTGAGAAAGAGGCAAAACGAGTATCTGACTAAAAGATGTCGGCAATGGATGTTGGAAGAGCCGCATCGCTGAGTCAGCTGCCAAGCCGATGTCTCCCGAAGAAACGTCGAACTTCCAACATCGGATTCACGGACGAAAGCCATCACCTGTCTTCGCAAGCCACCCCAGGTTCCCCTCATTTACCACCTCCCCGCCGCGATGATGTCCCAGTCCCTCAGAGCGTCTGTAAGTCCATGCTGATGTCCTTTATGATCGCTTACTTTTCTTCCAAGTGGAGGTTGTTGACCCTTCCTTAGCGCTCTCTCCTCGCCCGCGTCTCTCGGCAACAGGTTTCTTCGGCTTCTCGCCGCACTTTCCTGACCTCCGCTGTTCGTCAGGGTATGTGACCCCTTCCTTTGACTAGCCAGTTCGACTCGGTGCAACAACTGGCGAGATGGTATCGCCGTCTCCCATAGGTCAAAATCTAACACTGTAACAGCCGACCCCGTTCAGGATCTCTACCTCCGTGAACTCCGTGCTTTCAAGCCCACTCCCGTCAAGCCTGGTGATGCCGAAGCTCATGTCCAGAAGTTCAGCGTTCCCGCTACCCCCAAGTCTCCCGAAGAGGCCAACCTCGCCAGTGAATTGAAGTCCTACGAGACCCAGGAAGTTGAGGTTGAGGGTCAGGCTGCCGCTGGTGAGGCTGCTCCCGCCGAGGAGAGCTGGTTCGAGGAGGATGAGGAGGAGGCTCCCGCTGCCCACTAGGTTTATTGTTTCTATGACAAGGTCTGGGAAAATCGGGGCCTAAGGGCAATGGGATGAGAACAGAGTATGCTTCCTGTTGTTGAGTCCTGAAGAACTTTGTAAATTAAACCTACTTGGAGCATATGAATATTTCCTTTTCTTAATCAACTGGCATTGTCCTACTTTCCGCATCTATTATTATAATCTTATTCGATGCTCAGTGTCTTTTGTAACCCTTTCTAACTTTGCTTGGGATGAGATGACCTGGTGTAAATGTTGGCCTCAGAATACTAGACCGACCGTGTGACGGGGGTATTGTTACTTGCAGGTTTCCAACTGCAACATCAAAGGTTTTACCGATAATATATTGCGAATTGTTTTGTTGAACACGCAATGGCGATTTCAAACAGGATATGAATCAGGTGGATGCTGATGCACCTGCAATGGTAATTTAATTGTGCACCTCGTGAAAGCTCAACCAGCTATGGAGGGCAATACCCAATACCTGACAGTATAGCACGTGGCTATGAATGATGGCTCGGTATTAAACTCGAGCTTCTCGCCTATCAATTCTATATATAAAATTCGCCTTTATTATACAGGAGACAGCCGAGCACACCGTGGAAACAACGATTGACAACGTGTCCGATGTTCGGAAAGAAAAACAAGATATCACCATTGAGTTACAAACTTACTGTTTGTTGAATGCAGAGCGTCTTGCGTGAGAGATACTTCCCACCTGGATGGAGGAAGGAGATATGACAGCTCCAGATCGCATCACGTCAGACCGCCAGACGATCCATCGCCCTTCCCCAGCCTTCTCCGTGCGTCTTTTTAAGTGTCTGAATCAACCCGCTGGACAGATGTACCTATAACCACAGCCCAGAACACGAGAACGGTGGCTCGGTAGTCTATCCTTCAAATAGATGAGCTAAGATTGCGTGCACACTGCATAGTCGATCAATCGAAAGTGGGACTAGTTGATATCGAGACTACACTTCCCTGTCCTTCGACTCTACGGGGTCCGAGAAAAAGATTTCCGGAGCAAAGGATTACGGCGCTGCCGAGAGATCGTCAGATTCCCATATGCTGTTGGTCGGACAATGACATAAAGAATGACCCTCGTCTGGGAGACATCCGAAGGTTGCCCAACTGTGATTAGTTGCACAACATTCCAGGAGGTATCCCAAGCGATTTGCCACTAGACTGTTCATAATCCTTTTATCCTTCAATAGTTCTTTCTTCATTGAATTTAGTGGCCTGGTTTAAGATTTGGCAGCTATACATGAGTAGATTTGTGGAAACAAAGTGCACCTAATCTGCTGTTTTGTCTAAGTAAGTGTACATGTGCTCATTGTATACCTGCAAGTACAGTCATGTACCTACAAGAATGATAGATCAGAAAGCCGACATTTAAGCGACAGAGGAAGATACTCTGCAAGGCAAAGACGGTGTCCATTACCATAATACCCTTATTAAATGAAATAATGGGGTTGTTACTTCATAATATCCTCTCCCCCCCCCTTTTTTTTGTTTACCTGGTGTATAACAATGATGCTAAGTGGGATTTGCACCCTACTAACTCTAGAAAAGGGGGTCTTTAATATTTCAAGTACATACATAAACAGAAAAGAGGCTGTTCTAAACCGATTCCATTGCCTTTTACATAGAAGAGTCGCTTATTCGTAAGATCCCAAGGGAAGGTTGACGGACCAACGCAATTGTTATCTGCAAGTCTTCGCTGGACGTGCATGCAAGTTCAAATGAATGGGACATGTCGAATCCCACGATTCAGTAAGATACCTCAGGTACAGTACAGTACGATACCTATCAGTACTACCAACATACCTCCAGGTGCTCAGGCCATATTCAGTGGATTTAAAGAAATTGTCCATAATAATTCAATGATTTCACCACTGTATTTTTCTCAAATATTTCCATGAGAGCTAGCTCTCATCCATCTACTTATAATGTGGGCTTTTTTTTTTTTTTTTTTTTTTTTTTTTTTTTGGATCTGTTAGTGGTATTTATATATAGAGATAGTAAGCTGGACTATTCAATGATTTACTTCCAGCCTTGCAGATGGGGCTTAGACCATCCATGGCACAACTAAACACGATCATGATGGAAAATTAAGCCGAGAGTTAAAGAGCAAAGAACAAAGGGCAAAAGTCAAAAGAAAAAAAAAGGAAAAAAACAGGGCAAAAAAGGTTAAAAAAAATTTGAAAAAGGGCACTGCCAGTTTAAAAACGAGATTAAGTCAATAAGATTTGATTTGGTTTTAAGTGAAACCGTGGGTCGGGTCGCTCAGATTCCGAGTACTACTAAAAAATACCCAACCTGGAAGAAGTATGAGAGGCGAGCTGTTTTGAACGATACCTGTCGGTACGTTTCTGTACATCCCTACGTGGATGCATACGTACTCGGACATGTATGTATGACGGACAACAATAACTCAAAAAAAAATTTCAAATATATAAATAACAGAATCAAGAAGAACGAGAGAGATTGACGAATGGAAGAGGTTTTATGGACAGAAACGAAGGTGGGTTTGAATTGGCCTCCCTTATTGTCTCCCTGTGTACAGAGATAAATTGTTGCCCGCCATTACCTCATATTCGCACGAAACTCGGACCCTGGATTTCAACGGTACGGGAGGTGGAAACCATTGAAACTAGACAGTAAGTATTAAATGGTTCCATTAGTATTCCAAGAAATCCCCATTAAATCTTTCCCTGCGGCTCCCCTTCTCCTCCGCTCCCCGTCGATTTGTTTGCCTCCCTTTCTTTCTCTCCCTCTCTCTCTCTCTCTCTTTTTCCTCTGTTCTTCTTTTACCCTTCTCAATCAAATCTAAAAGAAAAGGAGAGAAGAATTCATAAGCGTGGTTAAACCTTCCTACTTTGTCATTCGTTTCATACCATCAAATAAAGACCGCAACACCCTTAATCAATTCTCCGCTCTTCTCCAACTCTACTTTCGGAAATTCTACCGTCCGTCGATCAACCGCCCGCGCTCTTCTTCATTCGTTGCAATATCGACTAACGAGGGACCCTAGTCGGATATACTGTGAACCCTTACTACTCTATAATTTGGATCTTTAGCGAAATTGTGAACTTCAATTCCTTTGCCGAACTTGCGCCTCATTCGTTGAACGCCGTCACTTGCAATACGTCTGCCTACACGCCGACTTGTACATTTACTGCACTGCGATTCCCGTTGCGACAACACCGCCATTTCGATGCAATTCATGGGCGCCCTCTCGCACATGCTCTGATACCCTTTGCCGTGGGTCTATAGTATATGGAGGAGCTGGTCTCCCTCGCTAACATCAACTACGATCCACTCCCGGTTGGGGGAGATGTGCATCTCTCCAGCACTCTCCCTTGTCTTGGACCTATAGTCACCATTGGTTACTTTTGACCATGTCTCCTCTTTCTCTCGAGACCATAAGCAATCATCGAGATGGTGAGCATGTCTTGCTACCCCATTCCGCCAGTTATAACCACCTTCCCGATCTCGTAGCCTCGGAGTCCGCCTCTCCCACTCTCCGGAGGACATTCTCAGACCTGACCTACCCGAA